AGCATAACAAAATCAAACTTTACATTTGTAGCAATAAGTGCTGGTTCTTTTTCGTGTTTCTTTCCAAGTGTTTTTGATTTTTCATAACTCGTTCACATACATATTTGGTGACCGCTGGGACAATGAAGAGAAGTTCAATACTGATCTATGAGATCTATTACGCGTTAACACGTTCTAATGGTATGATTTCAGCACATGTCATAACATAGTATATTGTCTGAGCAGCAAATCAAGGTTTTACGAAGAATGTTACGTTCGGATCACTGATATAAAATCTACAATAAACGTGTCTTAATTTGGTATAAAATTAATGTCTGTATTCTTTATACCTCAAGAGAACGAAACTTTAAAAAAATGGTATCTGTAGATGCCATTGGGAATGAAAGGGTTAATGTGAGTGATACATATGGGCATGCTCAATGGTAGGATACCCCGATTTGCTTTCTTTCTATTATGAGTTAAAAATGTAAGTATATTCAGATCAAATTATCATCCTCATCGCTAAACTACTGAATTCTAAATATTAGCTACTGATTGCTGTTTAATATGAAATTATTCAGCGCCTCGAAAAACGATAGGAGACGATATCAGAGACTGAATAATTTCATATTGGATAGCGATCAGCAGTTAATATTTAAAATTCAGTAGTTTAGCAATGAGGATGATAATTTGACCCGAATATACTTAGATTTTCTAACTGATAATAGAAAGAAACCAAATCGTGGTATCCTGTCATTGGGCACGCCTATATGTTAAAACTCTTTAAAGCCTAGTTGTTTAAAAGGGTTATATTGCAGTTTAACATGAAACAATTTTCTATTTACGTTAAAACTACATAGAATATGAAGTTTAATTTGATTGGAATAGATATGACTATAGTTTGTACAACATGCATATCATGATCGATAGCTTCTCATCAGAACTGCGTTGTTAGTGTATGGATGTGTACTTATCCATTGTTAAAACTAATATACGACTTAAAAGTCATAGTATATGATGAAACATAATCAAAGCAAATTTTTGCCATAATTTAATAACGCCTCAGTTAGATAGGAGCTGACCTACTAAAATAACGAAATTTTCTTAAATATTATGTATTGGTTCAGTATAGACAAAGTCACCTGCGAAGTATTGTTATATTCATAAGTCAACGTGTGATCGACTCGCTCTCATGTTGTGTAGAGATAAAGAATAGTATGAGCTCCCCAGAGGTTGCAATACCAAAAGAGAAGCACTTTTTGTCAATTATGAAATATATTAGTCTGCAATTTTTTTGATTCCCGTATGTACAGTAAAACTTAGATGAGAAAATTGCAGGCTATCGGACTCAAGTGGAATAAATCTAATAATCTCAAGTAAAATTAAACAAGCTAAATCTAACTGACAAAAATAAAATAGTATCAAGTGGAATAATACTAGAAAATTGTTCTAATGCTTTTTAGCTGTATTTCTATATTGATTCTCTGGCGTTAGAAATATTCAACCCTCTATTATGTTGAAATACTGAGCACTAACAAAAAAACACGGATGAATAAGCAATTTTCATAGACTATTTCATTAAGTACTCTAAGAATCGATGAATTACGTGTCACTTGAAACAAATAAATAGATCTTGGCAAAGATACTAAGATTAACCGGAAGCGAGATATTAATCATGAACATTGAACAACAGACACAAAATCATTTTCACTAATTTTTTAAGAACGATATGGATTATGTGCTGAAAATAAGAGTGTACCAGATCTCGATATGCTACGTGACTTCTTTTTATGAATGCAAGTAACGAAAATGATTTTGGATGACTTTCATTTTGCCCATTTGACATTTGATGTGGGAATTATCTATTGTCCAAGACTGAAATTTCAGTAATATTACTGGATACAAAGTATAAAACAATGAAGATATAGCTCATCTGATAGATCATTTGGCGTTGAAAGTCCTTTCATATGACTTCATATAGCTTTCGATTTTATTTCATAAATAGCGACAACAACGTCAACGACGTCAACAACGTCGACATCGACGACATCAACGTCAACAACATCGACATCGACGACATCAACATCAACATCAGGCAAGTGCACTTTCAAATTTACACTTCGACTAAACATTCATTACAAAAAATACGCTTCCAATCATATTCCAATGAACAGCCTAGTTTCAATTCAAAACGTATATTTGCCCATGTTTGTTTTTTCATTTGTTAATGAGTTCTCCAAGTCCTTGGATCTCAATCATATCTAACAGCTTTGTTGCATATCGAAATCCGAAAAACTTGTAGGTGTATGAATGTAGAGAAGATCCATATCCATCCTCAATACAATCCTACTGTTTCTCTATTTCTTTTCTGACATCGTTATTTTTTGAGAGTTGCAATCTTGAGAACAATTCATTTGGTTTGACTCGAATGTCCAGAATATTTTGTTGATCATGATATTTATTTTCACTCTAAATGTACAACAGGAAACTATTGATTTACGTCTCTGAGCGAATCAATATCATTAATAAAAAAGCTGTTAGCGCAATCCCTTGCGGGATTAAAAATGTGAAACACGATGGACCTATTGTTACTAATAAAATGGAAATCCTTTTGTTGCATTTCCTTACGACACATTTGTAGCTGACCATATATCTGATGCTTTATAACTACAATTTCTGTGTCACGGTCTGTGATGGGTACTCGGGTTCTCTGTCACGGTCTGTGATGGGTACCCGGATTCTCTCTCACGGTCTGTGATGGATACCCGGGTTCTCTGTCACGGTCTGCGATGGGTACCCAGAGTTCTCTGTCACGGTCTGTGATGGGTACCCAGA